AGCCTCCCCCACCTGTGCACCCAACGAACCATGGCTCTGTCCTGCACCTCCCCCACCCCAGTTAGGCAGTGCTTGCCCCAGCACCAGCCCCACTCCTCCCTCACCACATGGGCCTTGCTGCCCCCCCGTGCCCCTTCCCTCCCTCCTCCCCTCCCCTTCCATCACACCAAATTTACCAGTCGCACACAGCTCTCCAAGCTGCCGAGCTGTGCTCCTTGCTGCCTACATGCTGCGCTGTGGCTGTGCACGGGCATTTATTGGCCACATTATCAGCCACATCAAGCCGATTTCCAATACGATCAATTTTCTTTATTGATATTTAAAGAATTGGTATTGGTGCCTATCTGATATTGGACCAATGTAATCCACCTATACTTACGGCTGTAAGGAAAGCTATTGTAGAAGTATCTGTAAATTGTCCAGAAGTCAAGCTTGCCTATCTCAATTAGAAGCAGACTAAATTGCTGGAATCCAACATGTGCAATGTCTTTAATGTGCTTGAAAGGCTTCTGGAGACATTCCATAAAGAAAAAAAAGCTAAAGTTGCAACATTTGTAGAAGACAACCTGTTCTCAGGCCACATTATCATGAAAGAACACTAACCTTTCCAACACTAATAAGTGTACTTTTAGGTGACTGTGCTAATGATACCATCACCTAGTCCCCTCAATAGCACTCTTAACTGTGCTGATACATGTTTAAACACAGTGCAAGCTTTCTTGTTGCCTTACCTATTTTTTCTCTATTATGCTTTTTATTTTAGAAGGAGGGAGATTTCTCCTTCAATCATTTTTCTGCAATTTGTATTGGAGAACCAATATATGAATGTATATGCTTTGATGGCAGCATATTTATATGATCATCTGTAAAAGTTCAGGTTGGATAGATATAGTAATTCCCTAACCTCAAATTTCAAATCCTGCTTCTAAAATATCCTGAGCTTCCTCCTATATACAGAACTATTACCAAAACCAGACTGTACTCTGCAAGAGAAAATAAAAGCCAATAATTACTATTTTCAAAAAGCTGGGTAGTCAGACTGAGTTGGGAAGAACAAGCAAGGGAACCATTCTGCATGCAGGAACTTCAGGAAGAGACCAAATTTATTTTCAAGGAATGAGTTAAATTACTTTGGTAATGCACAGAAGTGGAGGCTGTACCTCTACAAACCATTACTTAGCCAGAGAGTAGCTGAAGAACTGATAAAATAGATTTCCAGGGTGGGGATCCCCTGGGAAAATAGTTATGGACCAAGGGACTAACTTCATGTTTCATGTCCTTAAAAGTGTCTGTCATATCCTTAAGGTAAAGCACTAGAGGGCCTCAGTCTACTACCTCTAGACCAACGGGCTGGCTGAACATTTTAATGGGACCCTAAAAAATAAGCTTTGTCGCTGCACCCAAGATGACCATTGGCAATGGGACCTGTTAGTACCCCCTTCACTATTTGCGATTAAGGAAGCACCCCAGGCCTCTTTGGGCTATACCCCTTTTGAATAGATATATGGGCATTCCCCTCGTACTTTGTTGGACCTGGTCCGCAAGGGGTGGGAGAAGGATGACGGGGTCAGGGCGAGCATTCTTGGTTTGTGAACACCCTGAGAAAGAGGCTGCAGGTTGCTAACAGGGTGGCCAAGGATAACTTACAAAATGCTCAGTCAACAACTGGAGCAGTATGATAACAACAAGAGGGGGCGGGGGTTCCAGGTGGAACACAGGGTCCTAGTCCTCCTTCCTAGCTCCAGGAGCAAATTTTTGACCTGCTGGCAAGGCTCATTTGAGATTGTGAGGCAAGTTGGCCCTATTGATTATGAGGTATTCTGACCCAGGCATAGAAAGGAGAAACAAGTCCACCACGTGAGCCTGCTGAAATTATGGTAAGAGCTGGAAGGCCCTTTGGCCATCCCACTGCCTGAATAAAAGGAATTTGGATGGGAAATGGGTTTGGATGGGAGAAACACTAGGGAAGGCAGGGCTTGAAGGCAGCATACTCTTAGGGCAACATCTCATGAATGGGCAGCAACAGCACTTGCGAGAAATAATTCAGGACTTGAAAGATGTCTTTAGTGAAGCCCTGGGGAGGGCTGGGGGGCTGTATAAAAGATCATCACCCCAGAATGCATAATAGTTTGAGAGAAGTGAAGGAGGATGCCATATTATAGGTATCAGCCTATCAAAGAGGAACTAAATAGAATGCTATAGCAGGGGGTCAGCACTGAGTCCTGAAGCCCATGGAGGAGTCCGATTATAACTGTTCCAAAGGCAGATGGAACCCTTCGCTTGTGCATAGACTTCCGAAAATTAAATACAATTATGTGGTTTGATGCACTCCCTATGCCTCAGATGGATGAGCTTTTAGAGCAAAGTGGACAAGCCAAGTTTATTTAAACAAGTTTATTAAACCTGGCAAAAGGATAGTGGCAGATGAGATTGGAGGGCCAGGCCAAAACCATTTTTGGGACTTCCTGGGGCTGTATGAGTTTAAGAAGATGCTTTTCAGCTTTAATGGAGCTGTAGCGACTTTCCAACAGCTGACAGGTTGGGTGCTGGCTACACATCAGGGGTATGCGGCTGCATACATTGACAATATTGTCGTCTATAGTGAAGGCTGGGACCAACTTGTTAGATCAGTGAAAATTGTCTTATAAGAACTAAAACAGGCTGGCCTGACAGCCAACCCAAAGAAATGTACTCTGGGAAAAGATGAAACTAAATATCTGGGCTTTCTAGTAGGGCAAGGCCATATAAAGCTTCTGGCAGATAAGCAGATACAATAAAAAATTACTGCCCCCTGCCTGTTGGGTCACAGGGGCTTGAGCCTGCCTGCAATGCCCCTGGCCAGCAGGCAGAAACACTCCAGCAATCTCTGAGGAGGCTGCCAAACTGCCCCTCTCCCTAGCCCTGCCCCACCCCTTGAAGCTCCAGGGCTGTCAGCAGGGGAGGGAGAAGGGGATGGAGCAGCAGGCAGCTGCTAGCTGCTTTGCCTGGCAGGAGTTTGGGGGGTGGGGGAAGGCAGGGTGGAACAGAGCCCCCTCACCCATGACCCCCCCCAGCTACTGAGACTAGGATACTGGGGGGAGCTGGGCCAGGCCTGCAAGGCAAAGGGGGTTCCCTTCCCCCACCCAGGCCTCTTGGCAGTAGCAGCAGCAGTTACCAGTTCAGCTTTGCCTGTCCAGAGTTGGGGTGGGGAGGGAGAGGAACTGGATGGAATGGAGCCCCCTCACCTCATGGACCTGACCCAGCTTTCCCCAGCTTGGGAGCTGGGGTGAGCACAAGACGAGGGGGCTCCATTCCATCCTGCCCACCTCTCCAGCTCCTACCCATCAAAGCAGCCAACAGCAACCTGCTGCTCCCTCCCCCTCCTGCTGACAGCCCCGGGGAGGGGGTGAACTGGGCTGGCACAAGCACCAGCCCAGCCCCGCAAAATATGAAACATTAACCCTAGAGGGAACACAAGTTCCCTAAAGTGTTCTGCTTTAGAGCACCTTCTTCTAATAACTGATTTGACCACAGTTAACTTTTCATGTGATCGGCCATTTAAAAAAATGCTCTGCAACCATGCACGTGTTACATCATGGCTATACAGCACTTTCAGGGACCCAACTGCACAAAAATGTAACTTATGTAAGCACCCTAACTCTTCGGTTTTAATTTCCCCTATGGGTATACAAGCCTAAGCTTTAGGAATCACATGCACAGCTTGATTGAGCTCTAAGAGTCTTAGCAAATCAGAATTTAATGGATAACTACCTCTAAGTTCTTGGGGTTAGATTTGTAAGAAATATCTCCTCTATTAACCTAATGATGTAATTATTGGCTGTACTCTTATATATTTATTATTAAGGATTCTGGATGAAAGCCATGCTCCCGAAAACAATATAACAGACTTACAACCATAATATTAATTTAAACAAAAATCACAGAAATGCAAATATAATAATAAAATAAGGCCAACTATTATAAAAGCATTATTCCTACTCCTAGAATTAACATAATCAAGTACAAATACAGTTATAAATCAGATCATGAATCTATAAAAATGTTGTGCATGGGTCCACAATTAACATAGTATAAAACAAATATAGTGATAAAGTTTATCGGTCATATGAACAGTAAAGGATGTTTAGCTCTGATCACTTCAGCCTTGTAAGCAAAAATTGCAATACAGTTTACTAAATATGGATCTGTTTGCTGCAGGAGCCATGTTAATTTCTCTCTATTTGAGAAGTATGTCAATTTCTGCAAGAATGGTGATAAATATTTTCTCCTTATGTTGTTATTTAAAGGACATTCTAAAACATAATGAATAGTGTCTTCCAAAACTCCTAGACAGACTGGGCAACATCTTTTATATTGGCTGTATTAGCCAACCTGGTGATTTAATTCAGTGTCATTTTTACATGGATTTGTTGATTTGATTCTAACTGCAACCTTGATTTGATAATTTTACTAATTCTTATTTAGTTTAGTTAAAGTTTATAGCAACTTCTCTCAGCACTAGGCTTGTTTTATTTTAAGTTTATTTATGAACTAGTAATTAAACCCACATTATATACACAGACATTCTTTTTCCCAAATAGCACCCTAGGTCAGAGTTCTCAAGAATGAAGGTAACTTAGGTAAGGTATCTGACAGCTACGTGGCTCTCTCAAAATTCTCACAGGGCTCTGGCACTGGATCTTTTGGCTGCACCTACATCCACATTATTTATGAAATCACTTAACATCAGGCACTTCCAAGACAGTTAAATGAAAATGTAAAAGGACGGTTGTTTGATAAATGACCTTCTGTCTTCCTTCCAATTTTACGCTTTCTCCTCTGTTCGATACTTTGGCTATATTCAGATACAATCAAACAATACCTATAGGCAAAAGATAATGAACTATATAGTTTTGTGCGAAGAACCAACCTAGAAAGTCAGGTAACATTTAACAGATTTTTCAAATCCTGACATTTAAAAAGGATAATAAAGATATTATTTAAATTCTCTCATTGCTCACAGTAAGAGATAACATTTCTTCTTCTTGTATGGCACAAACAGGCTGTTTCTGAAGCAATGGATTGTCTTCACAGTAAAGCTCCTTCAGTCCCATCAACAGAAGGTCTTCCATCTATTTGAAATTAAAAATATTTTCTTTAGGTGAGAAAAAGTAAGGAACCTACCAGCTTTGCTACTCAAAATATTCCATCTCAAATATTTACATTTTTATTATAAGAATATAAAGAAAGAAGGATAAATGTTCTTGCAGATGTACATGAACTAATATTGTTAGGGAAAATATAAGATTTAAGGGAACACTGTTGCAAACATCTAATATAACAATTTAAATCAAACAATCAAAATTTAATTTCCTCTAAAAGAGAAGTCTTGTGACTAGAATCCTACTTAAATTACAGCTTATAAAAAAACCTCTCAATTTAAAATCCAAGACGATGTATACTAGTATAGTTCAACCTGTCCATTCCTGTCCCAACATGACTGATTTTCCCACATGCATCTAATTCTGAATCAATAATTGACTCTATACTGTAATAGGTTGAACAGTTCCAATGAAACGCACACTCAAGCATGGAAGCAGTGAGACTCTTTGCTAGGGACGTTTATTATGAGACTGGGCAAATTATTCAATGCAATAACAAAACACATTAGCAAAATTAAGGTTTATGATGATCAGAAAACATAAATGAAATAGGTTTAAAAGACCCAAAAGACACTTAAGTTTAGTTTTAACTTCTTTTCCAGCATGGCTAATAAAAGCTGTGAAAATTACACAGCCAATAACAGTACCAGATAGTAGTAGTATATTTAAAGCTTTCACCAAAACAATATAGTAAAATCAATAAAAAATCATTAAAATAAAATAACAGTATTTATATAACTTTTTTGTTAAAAAGATACAGTAAGATTATCCATTCTACCAGTTACACAAAATTAAAACAGAACATCATATATATGGTGATATAAAAGAAGATAAATGAAGCAGTGAATAATAAAACAAAACACGAGCATTCTTTGATTTTGGCCCTTATTCTTTGAGCACATAATGCAAATGTACCCAAGGAGTATAAAACAGGCCCTGAAGTGTTATAAAGGAACCTGACTTGTTTTTTTTTCTTTATTAGCCCAGTATTTAAAGTTTCCCATTAATAAAGAGATCCATTTTCTTCTTTCTTCAAAAAGCCACAAATAGTGATTTCTTCAAGACCACAAATAGTGCTTTAAGTACTCTATCTTCTTCTACCCACAAAAGCATATTCTGTCCAAATACAGTCTGATGTCACCTGTCCACTAGAACTGCAGATATCATTAAAGAAAAAACCTAGTAACAGCATCTGACTATTTGCAGTTTTGTACCCAGACAGGTAGGTTTCTAGGACAAATGAGTGGTTAATTAATCTTAAAATAATACTGTTCAGCTAATGGCTCCTAGAGGCAAAGCATTTATACTATAGGATCATGGACACACTTTCTTGTTCTCTTTGTTTACCTCTGATATAAAAATATTAATTCTATGGGCAAAATGAGTGCAAGTCAAACAACAACCTAGATCTCAAAAGCTGGTAACAGTTCTTTTTGGCTAGGAACAGACATTACACATAAACCAGTTCAAGTGATCAGAAACTGGTTTAAACCTGCAACAGAACAGATGCTCAGTGCACATAAACCAGTTTGAAAATGGCTGAAATCGGTTTGAGACAAACCTGGTTGAATGTAATATCAGACTTAACTGATCTGGGTCAAACCAGTTTATGCAATGTCTGTCCCAGACCCCTTCCTGGTTTAAAATAAACCAGACACCCCCAACATCCCGGCATGCTCTCCGGGCTAGGTGGGGCTCTCTGCTCCAAAGCAGGGCTGGCCCCTCCCCTCTGCTCCCTGGCTGAAGCTCCAGTAGAGACTGCAGACACAGCAGGGTCTGCCTGGCTTCCCCCTGCCCTACCCCCACCCCTCACTGCTTAAGCAGGAATTCCCCCCGCTTCCCCTCCTCCCACAGGACAGACCTCAGCCCCATGGACCCTAAGCACGAGGTATGCTAGCTAATGCTGAGAGGTGTCTGTGTGTCTCTCTCTCCAACTTCACTGGGGCAGGCAGACAGAACAGTGACCGCTTAGGGCTATTTGGAGCTAATCAACAGGTCAGCCAGTAAGCTTTTTAAAAAGACTGTGAAATAATGAAAAGAGCTTACTGTTTTGCTGATGAGGTGATAATCACTTTTATCAGCCCCCTGCTGGCTTGCTCACCTGTCAGTTTGCTGCAGACCAGTATAAAGAAGCAGGGAGAGGGAGACTGAAAAGCTCCGTATCATCAACAGATGCATGCACTGCACACATGCATCTGTTGCCTCAGAGTGCTAGCAGGGGGATAGGGTCTGGCAACATTCCTGCCCCTTGAGCAGCCAGCAGAGAAAAGCCTGGGGCCATGCAGGCAGACTTCCCCAGGCAGAGGTCCTGTGGGGGCCTGGCCACGCCCCCCCCCAGCTCAGTACTGTACAAGGGAAGGGAGGGCTGCTCTAGTACTCCCCGGCTCCTAGCCTAAGCCACTGCAGTCATGTGCCTGAATTTCCTCCGTCCAGAGATTGTCTGTCCGGTTACAAACCAGTTCAACCTAGCCAGGTTAGACTAACCTGCAAAGATTGAATGAATTCAGGCTCAGGCTTCTTGAATGTCTGTTCCTAGCCAATACCACAAGAATAACAATGGCTAAAAAAACGCATACCTTTCTTAGGAAAGTTTTAAGATTATTATAATGACTCAACCACAGATGTGTGTTCTTATACTCCTTTTACATCAAATGTCAAAATATAATCTCGTTCTCATAAAAAAACCTGTGAAGAGCAGATCACTAATTTTGGAACTCTCTAACTCTGCTTATATCCACATCTGCAAAGAACACACAACTAAGAAGCTGTTCTCAAGAGTTTTTATTTAAGACAATCTGGCAATTATCCCATGACAGAAAAACTTATTTTAAAGTTTTAAATATACAGTTCTCATAATAAGGTTAGTCAGCTAAAATGGTGCAGAAATAGTTCAGTTCAGATATTTCTAGAATTCAAGAAAATAAAAAAATGTTGCCAGGGAAACTTTAAAGAAATATTTTATACTCTAAAAATGAAGTTCTCTTCCAGTGCACATTCAAAAGAAAGATCAAGGAAAAAACAATTATAATCCTCTGAATAAATGTATTATATAAACACTTAGGAGATTAAAGACTACAAACCCTTTTGAAATCATCTTGCTGTATCACGTAGATGTATTTAAGTACAGAAGTACCAAGTCTTGCAGAAGTTCCATATTTTAAACATTGTACACATTGGCGTTATACTGAAGTTAAATGAACTGTAATTTTAATCCTCAAATAACTGTAGAAGAAAGTTAAAGAGTATTCCTTTAAACCAAAACTATTTCTGCACAAAAACCCCATTTTAATGGACTTGTGTAGCTAAACAAACATACAAGAGAAGGATTCCATATCTATCCTAGTAAAAAGTTCCTTTCAACAGTGTTTTTTCTTTTTTTTTTTTTTTTAAACAGAGAATTCTGTCCAGCTTTTGTTCCAGTATAGAGAAAACAAGCATATATCTAATAGTCTACTCAATGCTCACGTTTTTAACTTAAGATAACACATATACCTGAAATAGGTGAATAGTGATTACATATATAATGACAATGGACAAATGAAAACAGGAAGAGATTTATATATCTGTGTTATACAAAAGCTTGCAGAAAATATTCTAGAGCTGTTGACCATTTCTTTGCTCTAAGAAGCTCTTTTAATCATTAGATATTTATTGCTTTACACATTTTTTTTACTAGTTCATAATTAGTATTTATGATTAGAGCACTAAAGCAGGTTTTCTGTTACCTCTCAGTTCTGTGTTAGAATCAGACTGCCAGAACTATTGTGAAGCTATCACATCATCTCTTCCTTCTGGCAAGGTAAGGGAAACCCCTGCTAAATTCTGTGGGTACACTTCTGAGCCATTCAAACTTAAAGCTGATTTAAGAGAACAAACCTTTTTGTATGTCTGATAAAATAAATCTGGATACTCTAGTTGTAAGCTGCCTGAAAAAGATTTGTAGGCAGTTTTGTGAGACATCATCACAATTCAAATTATACAGAGCATCAGTGCTTGAAAGGTATCTAACATTGGCTTACTGTTTCCTCTGGCACATCTCTTTCCAGTTACCTTACAAAACTGATATTTCTACTCAAAATGGATCATTAAAAACTGAAGACTTCTGTCTCTTGGTAATTTTTTCTTAAAACACAGTGGCCTTGAAGTTGCATGTCATTAATTAATTCTTGGAGGTTTTTAAGGCCCAACTTGACAAAGCCTTGGCTGGAATGATCTAGCTGGGGATGGTCCTGCTCTGAAGTGGGGGTTGGACTAAATGACCTCCTGAGACCCCTTCCAATCTTAATTTTCTATGATTCTATGACAGCTTTCTAAACAGAAAAGGGTACCTTAACAAAACTCCTTGTTCAGTTACACAAATTGTGTCCTTGTAGTAGAAGAACAGTAGTACTTGTTATGGCTTGGAGCAGGGGTGTTCAAGCCACAGCCCACAGGCCAGATCTGGCCCCTGGCACCATGTTATCCAGTCTATGGGGAGTCCCATTGGCAACATGTAGGGGGTACACACGGGTGCACATGCACCCCCCCGAGATTGGCTGTGCACCCCCTGAGAGAAGCACTGGAGGCATTTCCAGGTTGCTGCTGGCACTTCTGCTGGCGGTGGCAATCAGCTGCTGGGGAACCCCCCAGTATTAGGAGGCACCGGTCGTCCATGGGGAGTCCTACTGGCTGTGGCCCTGCATTCTAGATTAGGGTACACAGAGCAGCAAAGGCCCAGTCCCAGCACTTGTTGCCCTAGAGTCCAGGCAGGTGGGGCATTGCAGGGCCTGGGGCTCAATCCTGGCATGCAGGGTGTAATCCTTCCCATGGACCAACCCCACAGCCCTCATCTGGCCCACCAAACAAAAGGTTGAGTGCCACAGGCTTAGAGGACTTGTCTACACTACAGAGCCTCTTTGGTATAGCGGTATGGTACCAACTTCTTAGTTGGTATGGCTGCTAAAGCCATGTTGGCAGAAGCCCCTAATGGC